TAATATCACCAACGGCGAAGTGGTAGTCAGCATTGGGGACCGGTTTGGCGAATTGCAGACTGTCACACGGTTAGTTTCCACGAACACCAGAAACGGGGGGGGGGGGGGGTACGGAAGCTACTTACTTTGGATGAATCTGAACATAACCCTCCTCGGTCAAGGCATCCTTGGGCAGATACGACGATGTAGGCGAGCTTTTCGAAACGGCATTCATAATGTGACCAGCTTTGAGTTTCGTTCCGTTGGCCAAGGTCAGATCCCAAGTGCGCTTCCCTTGCTCTTCCTCGACTGCCGTGGTATCAATCACCCGTTGGCCCAGAATCACCTCGACGCCCTGTTCTCTGAGCTCGGAGACGACGCGCTCCGCAAAGTCATCTGGCAAGGGCTCCGCGGAGAGCAGACGATCCCGAGAATGAACAAGCGTAACCTTCTGTTGGGGATCCAGCTCCTTCAACTCAGCAGCCATCTCCACGCCCACAGCGCCTGAACCACCACCATAGTTAGCCACAGTCCTTCCGACAAATGATGAGACAATATATTACCTCCACCGATGACAACAACGCCATCATCAGCACCCCGGATCGCCTCTTTATGACTCAACACCTCCTTCAGGAACTCTTCCCTCTTCAACGACTGCGGCACCGTCGGAAAGACCCGACGGAGACCCGTGCCCGCAATGAAGAAATCGTACTTCTCCTGTCTCGTTTCCTGGGTCTCGAAGTCAAGGATCTGGGCGACCTTGTTCTGGAAATCCACGGTGTTGACGCTCCCGCGGACGATTTGTAGATTCGGGCTCTTCAAGGCGGGAATGTCGCAGAACCGAGTCCATGTCTTCGACGCGAACTTGTCGCATGCCAATGCTTTGGGGGAGCCGATTAAGTGATCTTGAGGGACATGTTCGTCAGTAACCAGTACTCAAGCAGGGGAAAAGGGGGGGGATTCTCACAAAATCCATCTCGTTCATCTACAACTGTGATCTGAATCGGTATTTGGTACTGGGGGGCCTTAGCACCCTCTGTGTAGTTGAACCGGGCAACGCGGCCCTTGGACAGGTCAAGCAGGGACAAGGCTGCGCTCAGTCCGCCGTACGAGCCACCGGCAATCAAGACGCGGAACTGGCGCAGGAGAGGGGTAAGGGCTTCGTTGGAGGGCATTGTAGCGACGGTCTACGGGGTAATATTATGGGAAAAGAAATACAAGTGCAGAGAGAGGAGATGGCAGCGACTAGGGGGAAACGGGGGGTGATATTCAGTGGAGGGCGGAAGGAGCATTTGAGAACGGGGATTCTTCTTTTAAAGTCGGCGGCAGTGACCGGACGCCTGCTGCGCCTGCATTGGCGAAATGGATCCGAGGCCAAGGATCAAGGGCTCCGGAACGGTGGAGCTAATGGAGGCTTCTATATTAGACGAGTACGAATGGATGGGTTGTCCCCGGAGATTAGGGAACTAGTAGGGTAGCAGTATGCTATTTAGTATGCGCTGCTGCGTTTGTTTCCTGGCATATTGGAGGGCATATGAAGTTTATTGCTTTGGATTTGGCACTCAGAGAAGTGTCTGATGTAATGGGGTACTGCTTAAGATGGGGAAGTATATGCAATGCCGGTGTCTAATCAGATTGTCCCCCCGTTCCGGATAAACACTGCCAAGTAAAGTTTCTCGTATCTTATCAGATCCCGGCTCAGAACGGGCATGCGAATTAATTGCGGGTTTGATTGCATAAGAGAAACTCGGTGAAGAGAGTGGAGTTAGGTTTCGGAGGGAAAAAAAAAAAGAAAAGAAAAGAAAAGAAAAGGCAGGATATCCAAGAGAAAGGGGAAAAGAAAAAAAAGACCGAAAGCAGTAGCTCCGCTGAAGACGCCATCGGTGTTTGTCGACGACCCGCCAGTTCCAGACACAATTACAGTTATCTGATCCGAAGTCACCCCTCCATCGGCAACCGGCCTCTCTGTTTCTTTGTCCCGCCTAGAGTCTCATCTAAAGTCTAAAAGTTATCTGATCTTGGGATCATGCTTCAAGGGTCTTCCCTACCCGGTATACTTCCTTGATGACAAAGGCGGAGTGCCGAGGGATTCTGAGTTTTAAAACCGAGGGGATAGACAGGTTATCCTTAAGGCAATCTCAAGCAAACCGCGGTTGACAAACCAAAACCTCCAGCTCATGGACTGTTAATGTACAAAGGAGGTAGGGTTCATGTGTACCCAAAGTACATCAGTACTATGGCTGGTCTTAGAGCCCTTTTATATTCGTGTAAATGATCTCCCCCGTCGATTGCTATTCCTGTATCCCACACACCCCATATGCGAAATGGGATGATCATCTTGCTGCACGTGGGATTATCGCCGTGGGTGTGTTGCATTACGAGACGCAAATCAGTCCCTGCAGATGACCACCAACCTGCCCCCATGACCATGAATTACGTCTCACAGTCTAAGAAAACTCAGGTCACTGAAAATATCAACATGAAGAAGGTTAAACCTGGCGACATCGGCTTGCGTTGCGTTGAATAATTCTCCCTGATCTACCTACACCAAGAACTAGAACCCACTACTCGTCATGCCGGGGCTCAAAATCGGCTCTGTTGCATCTCTCAGAGTCGCTCCGGATACAAGTGGGTTTGCGCCATTTACGACGCATTCCGTCCGATCTACATGCGAAAATAGTGCGTGGGACATTGTCGGAAAGAAAATTTGCTGTCTCAGTGGAACTGGTGCTGTAAGAGGACTAGTGTAGTGTACCGAAGTTTGTATCGTTCATGAAATACATTCCCTTCGCAAATGTTACCATACATTCGATACATACCATACGTCCTTGATTGATAGTGTTGTTTTGCATACCTTGGTGATACCATTCTCTCTTTTTGTAGATGGAGATCGTCAACATCCTACAGGCTGTGCATAGAGACTAGAGCTAGGTGCATACTCTAGAGTATCGAAGGAGTGCCGGGCCGTTGCAGGAGTTATCGGTCGAGGTTTCCGAGAACGTGGAAGCAAGGGTTCATGTAGATTGAGTAGCCCTGCAGCTATCAGAAGGTTCCTAGACCCTGGACTCGTAGGATCACCCGAAGGGCCATGCAGAATATCATATGAGTTATACTAAATAGAGTGGACTGGCGTAGTTTCAAGCTTGACGCCCCTGCGACGCCATCCTTCTCATAGAGGCATTGTGACTAAATCAACTTAGAACTCTAGTAGAGAAGAAATTATGCCGCATTGGCAAGAGCTAACGGATGTTCTGAGACCTGTTAGATCTAGAGCAGGGCCATACAAGAACCGTGGGGCCGATTTGAACCATATATGCCCTCCTACATTACAAAATGTGGTTCAACATCTTCCGTGCATTGTTACTTAGAAAGAAGATACAGGTTATTAGGCGAGCAGAATGTCATTTGTTGTCTCTATATTGTCAGGATGGGCCGTTTTAGCTTCCTTACTTTGCAATCTGTTGGCCGTTGTACCGAAGCACATCCTAGTAGACGCGGAGGTTTCCTTATAAACCGTAACTCTGAGTTGTCATACATCCATTGCATCCTGTTTTGAAGACATGACTACTCCGTGCTGGATCTCCGAATGGTCATATCCAAGCATACACTCTATCTGTCCCCCGAGGATTGTCCTAAGAGTAAGCATAGGCAAGCATCACACCCCAGTTCGATTCAAGCCATTCTAGATCTGTCCCTTGTATTCCATCAGGGAGACTCTACAATTGTTCCATTATTATTATGTTGGCCTAACGTTTCAAAAACTTAACGTAATAGCGGGTTCTATAGCAACATCGATATCTACGCATCATGCACTGATTTCTCCTATACGATCGCTAGTAAAGGAACGTTGTCAGGAGCCCAAGTAATTGATGTTTATACAGTTGGACTATATCTATGCGACTAGCTTTATTTTAGAAGTCTATGCTAGTGAAACTGCCAGAGGAGAAGTTTGATCACAGTTATGCCTCTAAGCTGAACAGTTTAGATATGCTAGGACGTAGTCTGTTCCGCGTTCTGGGCTGTGATGTTGGGTTTCCAGAGGCACCTCTGTACAGGTTCTGTGCATACATCGGTCGTTTCTTTGTTGAACACATAGATCGGTATATCTCTGGTAAGGATACCGTGTAATTTTGTCTGCTCCGGTTCGAGTAAAGGGAATTGAATAACTTACTGGACTGTTTCTCATACTCGGACAAAGTGGATCATAGGGTAATATCTTGGCGCTTTCTTTTTCCTTGTCTCTTTTCTTTTTTTTATTTCCCTCTCTCACACACACTTTCTCTGTCTGCCTTTTCCTGTTTGTGGACCAATTCTCTGTACTACGTACTATGAACGAGCCGAGAAAAGCTAAGATCTCCGCAGCCCAACTAAAATTATCTGATCCGTGATACCAGACTTCATTGTGAGGCAAGGGAATCCAAGACACGATCGATTCCACACTTATGTAAGAGATTAATCGAATAGCCGAGACCGGAGTCAGAATTTTCCTTTTTGTATGAAGAAAGTGAAGCCCCAAGTGGGGGTGGTCAGCGTCATGTATCGCGTAAAAATAAGTCGTGCTCTGAAGCCCTAATGAAACTTTCTTGGCGTAATTTCATCTGATTAGATGATTGTCTAATCTGATGTACTTCAGCCGTTATCATTGGCATCCGTCGCAAATGCCCCACTATTTTCCCATCTTCCTTCTCTTCTTACCTTTTTTTTTACCCGGGACTTTCTCCTAATTTACTCTTGGAAATTGAATTTATGGATCACCATTCTCGGAGGTTCGAGCGGGGCGTCTGACTGTCTCATTGGGCAATACCTCCTTACTTCTCCGATTGATTTTTTGTTGCCCGTTTCAGGCTTCGCTACGGATGATTGCGATCTGAAATAACAATATTGCTCTCTTTGGGCGCATCTTGCGCCTTCAATATGAATGTTGTAGTCTAAAAACGAAAATCAATTGCTCCTAGGGTATTCATCTAGCTATGTACAGCTGTATATCATTTCAATGGCAAAAGCGCAGGCGAAGTGTGTACTCAATTCGCTTTCGCACGCTGCTCCAGAACCTGTGCCGCAGTCTTCCGTAAATCTACCTTCCGGACTTTCCCACTGCCCGTAATTGGGATTGTTCGATCCACACCCTCTTCACCAAACACGAACACATGCTGCGGGGCCTTATGTCGACCCAATTTCTCGCGTGTCCAGACCCGCAACTCCTCGTCCGATGGTCGCTTGTCCTCGTAACCCGGAGCCAGCGCGATGAAGGCCCCAACCACCTCTCCGTACTTGTGGTCAGGAATGCCGATCACCGATGCAACCTCGATGGCTGGGTGGCTTGCCAGTCGCTCCTCGATTTCTAACGGATAGATGTTTTCTCCACCTGTTTGTAAAAAAAAAAACAACGTACCCGGTCAGTCATAACGGTCACTGTAATGTAGGAGTAGTTTGCGGAACGTAGCTCACGTACCACGTATGATAATGTCTTTGAACCGTCCGGTAATAGTGCAGCGGCCTTGCGGATCGAATATGGCCTCGTCCCCCGTCTTTAGCCACGTGGTGCCGTCGGCGTCGGTCGTTAGGGTTTCGGCCGTCTTTTCGGGGTTGTTCCAGTATCCTTTGGTTAATTGGTAGCCTGCGATGCATAGTTCTCCTCGCTGGCCGACCGGGACGATGCGGCCTTCCGCGTCGATGATCTTCGCTTTCGCATGGGGCATCACTTTGCCCACTGTTCTCAATCGGGTCTCGATGGTGTCGGTCGTGACTGCGTTGAAGCAGGTAGGTGAGGCTTCCGTGAGGCCTATTGATACAAGCGTAGATGTTAGTTCCACCCGTGTTTATATATGTAGGATAGTATTGTTCGAACACCCACCGTAGCTGCTAGTGTACTGTGTCATATTCAATTCTTCGAACAACCGTTTCATCAACGGGCGAGGAACAGGGGCGCCAGCGATGATTCCAGTGCGTAGATTACGTGTGTCGAAGTTCGGTGGTTTGGGTAGGCTTAGGATGGCTTCAAACATAGTCGGGACACCATGCAGAGCAGTACATTTTTCATCTGAGATCGCGTGGAGAACTGACTTCGGGTCGAAAGTTTCGCTGGGGAAGACGATCTTCGCGCCATGTGTGACAACAGCTAACATTCCAAGGACGAGTCCGAAGCAGTGGAAGAGGGGTGGAGGGCAGCAGAGGATATCGAACGAGGTGAGGTCCATCCGGTCTCCGATGAAGCGGGAGTTGTTGACCAAATTGCTGGAAACACAATAGCGTTAGTTATATGCAAAGCATGATTATATGTAGGGATCGACGCTGCATGGGACATGCTATGCTAGGGGCACACATACTGATGCGTCAACATGGCAGCTTTAGGGTTTCCGGTTGAGCCACTGGTGAACTGTAGATTGCAAACATCACCTGTTGTTAATTGTGCTTGTCGATCCAGCAAGGCATTGCTGGAAGCCGATAACCCTCTTTCGATGACATTGTTATATGTTGGGAAGTTCGAGTGTTCACCCCGCAAAATGACGATCTCTTCCAATGCAGCCGATGATCCTTTCCGCTTGGGATGAGGACCCAGATTTGACAGCACCTCCTCTAAGTTGTGACGGCCAATGTGAGGCGTCATAAACAGTAATCGGCAATCTAGATATCAAGATAAACTCTCAGCATGGAAGTTAAATGTCGATCAAGTAAGGCACAGCTACCTGTGTGTTCCAGAGCGTAGTAGAGCTCCGACGGCGTGTAAGTATTGTTGAGTACCACTAGAATAGCCCCGACCCGTGCTGCTGCAAAGAAGACAGAGATGTACTGTTCACAATTGCCAGCCATAATTCCTATACGATCGCCCTTGTGAATGCCCATCGCCAATAGGCCTCGAGCCAATCTATCAGCCTCATCGTTCAGGTCGGAATATGTCCATCGGGTTCCTGTCCAAGGGAACACTAGGCACTCGTGTTCTCCATATTGAAGGCTCTGTAATGCAAGTAACTCTCCGAGGGTGATGTCTAGTAGGGGAGGTTGGGTAGGGCCGTAAACAACTGAAAGCTGTTCAGGTGCCTTTGGCGGTTGAAAATGTGACAAAGTCTGTTGCAGACGTCGTGTAGCTGCCATGTCGAGTGTATTTCTAGTGTCGAAGGACCGGTCCACAGACTAAAAGTTTCTACGAGAGAGCTCGGTCGGGGGATACGCCGGTTCATAAATATAAGCGTCTTTTTCTAGCCTTTAATATACCTCGGGAGTTAATCGTCTTTGCTTGGATCCTTCCGGGTGTTCCATCAAACGCCTCTTTTCATCTCTCGGCACTCGATACCCAAAGTAGTAACGGAGCATGTACTAACTTGGTAGATAGCTCGTTCTTGTCCTTATACTTATCCACATGGGGACCCATTCCAATCAACAAGGCTGTTCCAAGACCTAGATCTTACGTTTTTCGGTCCGGATTTCGCCAAAGGTATTACCACATCGCTTGCAGAACTGGAAGCAGAAAAGGTTCCAGGTCTCAGCCATAGCGTTCCTGTCTCCACTGGTGGCGCACCGGTCTGACAGACTCGTGGAGGGTCCGTTGTAGCCAATCCGGGTGGTTCAACATATCTCACTTAATTTATCAGTGGGGATAAGATCAGATAACGGCTGTGGACTGAGCTCGGAAATTTTATCACAGGATCCGAACCCTTCATAAAGGAGCACAACTATTTTACATGGCTCACTCTTCATTATTAACAGTTTTCTCACCTGGAATTTACATTGGCTGTTTGACTCATTTTGAAACGTGGCTAGAGTAAAAGCGTGACATAGAGGGGTTTAGTTATCAGATTAGATCAGTATATATTGCCGTAAAAGGCTGTCAATTCCCGAAGAAAAAGAAAAGAAAAAGAAAAAGAAGAAAAAAAAAAATGTTTGGCGAATCCCCTCCAAAATGCCTCGGTACAGACGGCATACGTAGGGTAATATTCATCGGAGCAGAGATATTTGATATTTCCGTCTCATCAATTTGCAGGAGTTAGCCAAGTTAGCCAAGCCAGGACAAGACGCCAGTACACTCGGCTATTGGATTCCCTGCCGGCCTTCGCTGGTTCCTCGTCAATAAGAAACTTAAATAAACGAGCAACGGAGAGAGGTAGTCATGAAGACTAAGCTTGGCAAGAAGGATCAATTGATCGAGAGTCAAAGAACTATTGAGATGCCATCAATCATGACGGATATACCCGCCATTGCCTATATTGGTTGAACAAAGGATACTTTCAGGGTCAGCTTGGATTCGGCATTGATTACTCTAAGCTGCAGGGATCGACCATGTCTTTGTCTTGAAGGGGGTGGTTCCTGGCGGGGCCTAGCATGCCGTTTAGAACCGGTTACTCTATTATTATCAACTTCCATCCCGGAACGCATAGCTCCAAAACGCATGGTTGAGGCATATAAAAGTATGAATCATCCATGACGAATTTCTTGGAACAGCAGCGCTATGAGATAAAAGCACTTTATTTTTAATTGTGGAGCTGGAGACTGGTGTACAGTCAAGCGACTTCACATATAAACGCTTCTACCTTACGAAAGAACTGGATCATTACATGAAGCATCTGATAACCACTCCTGCCATAACCTGTTGTGGAGAATCTTCAGGCAAACATCATGACTAGGGCCCAGGAATCTCAGACCCTGCCAGTCTGCCGTTGACAGGAATAGCTTCTGCACAACTACACAAAGTCCAAAGTAGGAAAGGCAAGCCCTACAGTCGCACATGGAAAATCTTCAAGAAAGATCGACAGATCCAGGAATCACCCAGGATTATGCTTCAACTCTGGACCCTGGCCACAGTGGCCAAAAGAAGTCTACGATAGAATACAATTCGACCGGAGTATTTTCAGCTTTGAGTACTGTCATTAATACAGTACGGCCGATACAATACTAGCGAAAACGGTATGGATCTAATCAGATGATCTAATCAGATAACTTGGCCGATGACCGGAGAGAGTGACTGGTCTGCGCCCCCACTTCGTGACGGGACGGTAAGAGAATCGTGGGAGTGATTGGCGCGTCATCCGCGCAGTGTGGTATCACTCAAAAACTTTTGCAAATCCTGCACATCACAATCAATACCATTGTAATTACCGCGGTAGCCCGTTCAGCAACCCCCACTTTATCATGTTCTGCCCAATGAGCTTGTTTTGAAGCCCTTTGCGTTCCCACGGATGACGCCGTACGATGATGGTTCCTGAGTTTGCTGCAGAATGTGGCTGTTTAGCTGCAGTTGCAGGAATATCTTGGTTGCAAATCCCTCCAGCTCCTTTGACTAGCTGTGATACCCATTTATTTGTACGCGTGCCGGTACAAACTCTTGCTGCAGAAGCCAGACGAGTTTCGCTGAGTTCACAGGTGAGTAGCCGCAGTGACCCCGCACTACTGAAGCAATGGCAGGCAAAATCACGAGCGATGAGGGGTACGGAAGCTCTGTGGACTCAGTCTGCGAAAAGACCCTTTCTTTGAGCAACAGCGCCTCGTCCATAACCATGAACGAAATCCTGCCCGTTACCAAGGTTCCAGCCTTGGACACGATCGATCCATACGTTGTCGATAGATCAGCCGAGTGTGCGGTAGCCAGAAGTCCCCCGCTCGAGCTATCTTGCAGTACGGAATATCAGAACCTCGCCGATGGCATCGTCCAGGGCTATGCGCGTTTCATATCTGGCTTCACCGGGCTCGAAGATGTTGCTTTCTTCGTATCCCGCCATTCGCCCTTCGTGTCGGGCACGCAACAGGCATGCGGAGTCATTTGCGCTTCCGTGTTTTGCTCCGATGGTGCTGAGCAGCAGAGGGGCGAACAATGTTGCAAAGTGCGCGAAGTAGATACATGCCACTACAACAAGGACGAGATCCAGTTTTCGTTGACCCTAGGATTGGGTGTCGGACCTGAAAATGGCGAGCTACAACCTAGCGTACAAGGAAATGTTGGTCTTCTCCAAAGATAGCGTGTGCACTGTACTTGGGTAACTGACGCATCTGTAGATGTTCGGCTTGAATGTTACATCTACTACGAATGACGGTGTTCTACAAATCGATTTTACCTATCCGACGCAACTCATTCCGGATACGTCAATCTCGCAACTGTTGAAAACGCTCGCCTCACACTTAGCCGATTCGTCCACATTCCTTAGCCTCGATATATCCCCTCCTGAGCTTTCGATCCTTAATTTCCCTCCACTTATGGTACCCCCGTCCATGGGCACCGAACTGACTGAGGCCGTTGCAGCCGAGAGCTCTAGGCCACCCCTTCTTCACGCTGCTTTCGAGGGCTGGGCCCGTAGAAAGCCTAATCGCATAGCGCTTGACTTCGTACATTCTTTAGCATCTGCAGAAATACCCGCAGAACACAGCATTTTAACTTACGCAGCTCTTAATACTGCAGCCTCGAACTTGGCCATACATATCAGGACTCTTTTGTCCGGTCACGATCACTCGGCCAGTCAAGGGCGCATAATCCCTGTATATATGTCGACGTCCCCTGAACTTTATATTTCCTATCTCGGTATCCTGAAGGCTGGCTGTGCGTTTTCGCCGATCCCTCAAGATGCCCCCGCACGACGAGTACAAGAGATCCTCCAAGATATTGGCTCTCCCATTATCCTAGGAAATACACCTGAGCCGTCCCCTACACCGTGGAGCACGGAAACTACAGATGCTACAACAGCCACTCACACATGGGTTGATGTCGTGGAAGTGTCGAAGTGGAAAGAGCTACGAGGGGACCAGGCCCCTTCAACACCTATGTCTGAGCCTCTTGACCAACCAGATATAAATGAAAATCAGACTGCTTATCTCCTATTCACGAGTGGCTCTACTGGAAAGCCCAAGGGCGTTCAAGTTAGCCATCGGGCAGTTACCTGCTCCATTGAGTCTCATGCTACAGCCATCCCGCTCCCTGGAGACTCCGTTGGGGACTTCCGTTGGTTCCAGTTCGCATCTCCCACATTTGATCCATCGCTCATGGAAATCTTCGTAACATTGAGTAGTGGTGCTACTCTTTGCTCTGCGTATCGCAGTTTGACATTGACAGACTTGGAAGCAACCATCAATGAAGCAAAGGCAACTGTGATGATGGCCACTCCCAGCTTGGCCGCACTTCTGCGTCCTTCACGTCTGACAACTCTCCAGTCTCTCTGGACCATGGGCGAAAAGCTAAATCGAACAGTCATCGAGAACTTTGCTTCCAAACCGAATACCAACGAGGTAAATGGCTCTTCAGGGCCTTCGACCATGTTGGTTAATGCATATGGCCCCACAGAAGGCGCCATTAACTGCACTTTCCTTGCCCCAGTCGACCGTTCCACTCGTGGTTCCATCATTGGTAAAGCGCTGCCTACGAGTGCAATGTTCATCTTGGATCCGAATACGCATGTACCCAGGCCGGTACCGTCTGGGCTTACTGGGGAGCTGGCGCTAGGAGGACCGCAGGTCAGCAAAGGTTATTTGAACCGCCCGAAAGAAACTGCGAAGTCATTTGTACATAGCCCCGACTTCGGCTACGTCTACCGCACTGGTGACATGGCACGCATTGTTTGGGACGAGACAGGCTCCCAGGTTATTGAGTTCCTTGGCCGTATTACCTCTGATCAGGTAAAGCTCAGCGGTCGCCGCGTGGAACTTGGTGAGATAGAGTCTGTCCTCTCCACTGTGAATGGTATTATCGAGGCTGTGGCCGTAGTGTCGAAGCGGGACATGAACGTGCAAGGCAGTGAACAGATCTTTGCATGCCTAGTAGTGGATAACGCGACCGAAGTAGAAAAACACGAAATTGTGCGAACCGCGCAAGAGTCAGCACAGTCGCATCTTGCATCATACATGTGCCCATCGGCATACGCATTCTTTGACTCTCTACCTAGATCTAGCTCTGGGAAAGTCGACCGCAAAGCCATATCTGCCAAGCTCCAGCAGGGTGATGTGGACCTATTCTCCACCCAGGAACCCAAGTCTGAAACGTCCGTTGATGCACAAGACAGCTGGGAGAGTACAGATGAACACACACAACGGGTGCAACAACTGGTACTCAACCTTATTGCAGAAACATCCGACGAAGATGTCACCGCAATCAAGCCCGGATCAGATCTTTATTCGCTGGGCATTGACAGTCTCGGGGCGATGCGGCTCCTGCAGAAGCTGCGAGATAATTCCGTTGAAGGCTTATCTGTAGGGGATGTACTGCGAGCTGAAACACCTAAGGGGCTGGTGTCAATGATTGCAAAGCCTCACTCAACGGCGAATGATATCGATTCGAACGGCGCTTCTCTAGCTGATAACTCCGCTGAGCTGCTGAGCCAGCAGCTTGCGTCATTCAGTACCAGAAACCACCCTGTATGTGCGGAGAGGCTCGGTCTAACCTCGGATCAGCTCCAGAAAGTCTTACCGACCACGGCAACACAATCTGGTATGTTGACCAGCTTTCTGCGCAGCTCAGCAGATAAGTCGTTCGAAACTCGCTCGTACATTTATCATTCCGTCCTTCCCCTTGAGGCTGCAGTTGACCTTGACCGTGTACGGAGCGCGTGGGACTTTGTTACTGCGAATTATGACTCCTTCCGCACTGTCTTCTGCTGGCTCGACGACGACATGGCTCCATTCGCACAATGCATCCTGGCTGCCGATGCAGTACCACAGCCAAAGTGGAACGTTTACAACGTCTCTGAGGGCAATTCAGAGAAGGAAATGATAAACAAGGCTCTACGAGACGCGGAAGAAACCATTAACTTGAATACCCCTCCGTGGAAGTTGTCTCTGATCACATCCCCTGAAAGAACGCTCATAATCTTGAGCATGTTTCATGGAATATTTGACGGTGGCTCATTGCAACTACTTCTTCAGGATGTGTCTTTGGTTTACGGCAATAAGGCTATGGCCCACAGAACATCATTGGAGCATATTGTACAACATCACTTTGGCGCTGACCACACAGCAACATCTAAATTTTGGAACGAACATTTGGAGCACTACTCGCCGATTTCTTTTCCTTCCGTCACGCCTTATCGGACTCCTTCAGTGAAAGTGGCCGATTGCGTGGAAATCACCGCACACATCAGCTACGACAGGTTGAAAAGGCAGTCTAAAACCATTGGCGCAACCCCACTTTCAGTGCTACAGGCAGCTTGGGGCTCTGTCCTCTTGGCCTACACTGGGACCCCAGACCAAGATGTTGTGATGGGCAGTGTAATTTCTGGGCGGTTGGATCCCGACTCGGAAATATGTATTGGTCCAACATTTACCACCGTTCCCGTACGACTCGCTCTGAACCTGATCCCACAGGATGCCACTGGCACTCGGACGAACAGATCTGTCGCCCGCTACCTGTCATCGTTTAATGCCAAGACATTGTCTTATCTGCAACCGCGTTTGGGGTCCCTGGTCACAGGAGATGGTCGATTGACATATGACACGCTTTTGGCATATCAGGACTTCAGTGCTGGATCGAGCGCCAGTGGGCTTTGGAGCTCAATAGACCACCCACCAATGGGGAATGACTTTGCTGTGATGATTGAAGTTTGGCCTGGAGCCAATTCATCTTTGACCTTCCGTGCCAGTTTCAATCATGCTCTGCTTGACTCTGAATCAGCTGAGGTTATGCTGAGACAAATGGCGGATATCGTTGCGTTCATACTTGAAACACCAGAAGGAAACTTCTTAGATGCTCCATCCCAGACCCAGGTCGAGCTGAAGTCAACTTTCAATCCAACCTCAAGTATTGCTCCAGAGGTGTCAGAGGGCGCGCTAATCCATTCTCGATTTGAAGAACATGCAGAATCGCACCCAGAGGACATAGCACTAATATTCAAGGGCGACTTGGATGACGACAGTAACCCATGTAATATCTCATGGACCTATGCGGAGCTCAACGCTATAGCCGATGATCTCGCTGAGAATCTGCTTCAAGTCACTGGTCCGCTGACAAATACTCCTGTTCCCATATGCATTGAGAAAAGTCCGGCCATGTATGTGGCTATTCTGGGAATTCTCAAAGCAGGCGGTGCCTGGTGTCCGATTGACACCCTTTCGCCTGCCCAGCGTCGCCATGACTTGATTGCTCGGACTGGCGCCAAAGTTCTTCTCACGTCTAGTAATGACGGCGATCAACCCGAAGGGTCCATCCCAGCTGGGGTCGATACTATCGATGTTAGCCGATTCACTGTGAATACCTCTAAGTCGAACGGCATGGGAAGGCCCAGCACTAGGCAAAGAACAAGCCCAGATGGTATGGCATATCTCATCTGGACTAGTGGTACAACAGGTGCACCTAAGGGTGTTCCTATCAAGCATTCTGCCGCAGTCTCTTGTATGAAATCTCTTGGCAAGGATATTCCCACAGACGTACAAGGCGGCGTCGTTCGCTGCATGCAGTTCTCACAGTATACCTTCGATGTGTCAATCCAAGACATTTTCTATACCTGGAGCCTTGGAGGAATTCTCATCTCCGCTACCAGAGAGATAATGTTGGGCTCTTTCTCGAAACTCGCGAACATTACCAAGGCTACCCATGCGCATCTCACTCCGGCGTTTTCAGCAGGTGTTCCTAGGAAGAGCTGTGAAACGCTTGAGGTGATTACTATGATTGGTGAGAAGTTGACCCAGCCAGTCGCCGATGACTGGGGCACAGATATGCGCGCCTTCAACACATATGGTCCTGCCGAAGTAACCATTGTTTCCACAATCAGGGAGTTCGGAAATGAGCACAAGAACATCAAAAGCGCAAATATTGGCTGGCCCATGGATACCGTGTCTGTTTTCGTGACAAAGAACCAGCGAATGGTAATGAAAAATGCGGTTGGCGAGTTAGCATTGGGTGGGCCCCAGCTTTCCCCTGGCTATCTGAATCAAGAGGATGTCACAAAAGCAAAGTACGTTTGGAATGAGGAAGCCTCGCAGACACTGTATTATACCGGTGACTTGGTGCGCATGCTTGCTGATGGCTCTCTTGAATATCTCAACCGTGTCGATGACCTGGTCAAACTCGGTGGTATTAGAGTTGAGCTTAGCGAAATCAGTTTCTCCCTTGATACCTGCCATCCTTCCGTTGAGAATATTGAAACACTCATCCTCAGTCGTTCCGACAGACCTACAAAGGTGGTGGTTGCCTTCCTTTCTGCACCTGCAGCTGCATCTGCCGATGATGACAAGTTGTTGATACTCAACAGTACGGCACTGGATATAGCGCGTGCTGCCAGAGATAAAGCCCACTCGGTCCTTCCTGATCATATGATCCCGTCTGTGTACTTGGTTGTGAAAAACATTCCAAGAACACCATCTGCCAAGACTGACCGTCGGGCTCTGCAAGCCGCATATGAAGCTATTAACATCGACAGTTGGGAAGGCCAGCTAAACCCTGAAAATGCGGATTCTGCCAAAGAGTCAGGAAGCGATGCAGACGCCACCACAACTTCAAAGATAATCGATATGATCGCATCACTGGCCAACATCTCATCCTCAATCATTACCAAGGTTAGTAGACTTGGAAGTCTAGGTATCGATTCAATTCGCGCCATTCGCCTTGCCTCTAGACTCAAAGAAGCTGGCTACCAACTGTCTGTTGTCGAAGTACTAAACTGTGTCACCGTACAAGATTTGGTGAGGTTGGCCTCTTCTAGCAAAGCTGCCACTGCCTTCTCAGATACATTTGACCTGGAGAAGTTCAATCTGACATGGCATGTTTTGGCCGCCAAAAAGATACAAGAGGATTTCTTCACTGTGCGCGCTACTACAATTCAGGAAAGCTTGCTCAGTGAGACAATGGGTACATACGACATGTACTGGAGCAATCATTTCTTCTCACTTGACCCCTCCGTGTCGCTTGACCGACTAAAGCAGGCTTGGCTTGCAGTTTCCCAAAAGACGGAAGCACTGAGGACTGGATACATTCCCGTGGCTGAGGCGGCTAGTACTTGTCATGATAATTTCGACTTTTCTATCCTGCAGCTCATTTATAAGTTGCCTACCTTAGATTGGGAAGTACACAACTGTACTGAAGATGATTGGGTAGCGCTGCGTGACCACCGAATTGAGACAATTATGAAAAAACACCAAAGCAATTATTTCAGCAACCCACCGTGGGCTGTTACCGTTGTCGACAAGGGCAATGAAAGAGTCATGGTTCTTACGATACACCATTCTATCCACGATGGCCCTTCTCTCAGTCTAATCATGGATGATGTGCAATCTGCTTACATGCACAAGCCGCCCTTGAGGCATCAACTTAGCAGTGCGCTTTCGATCGTTCTTCCGAATGAAGTGAAGAGCGCAGAGACCTGCAACTTTTGGCAATCCGAGTTAGAGAGGTTTTCAGAGCTGGACACTCCAGTGTGGCCTGACCTTACTGGCAAAAAGGTAGATCCTGGAGTTGAACAAGAGTTCAAGCTCATCTCAGAGGAAATTCCATTGACGGAGAAGGCTTCGGAGCTTCAATCGGCTGCAGCTCAACTCGGAGTGTCATCTATTGCCTCTATTATACGAGCAGCATGGGGCTATGTTTCACTTTGCTATCTCGGAATCCCAGCAACCGTTTTTGCAGAAACTCTCTCCGACCGTATGTTGCACCCGGATCTTGAGGATGCAATTGGCCCATTGATCTCTGTTGTTCCCATACCTTTCCACCCACAGGGAAGCGCGCGCGAATTTCTCGCAGAGCAACACCGGATCTCGGTACAATCTTGGAAGCATTGCCATATTCACGCTCGTGATGTGCGAAGGATGCTAAACCGGCCAAGAGGAGAGGCATTATACCCAGCTGTTTTCAATTTCCATGTGGCATCTGAATCAAATGGCCCTTCTCGATCCCAAATCTGGCAGGAGCTAGAAGACCAAATTGGCTTACACGTGGAGCATCCCATGGCCTTCAATGTCTTTCAACGTCCAGACGGCGCTATCGTCTTGGAGGCATCATCAGATAGCCGCCTGATGAGCCGAGAGCAGCTGTCGCTTTTTGTCCGTCAGGTCGATGGCTTTGTCACTTCTATGTTGGCGTTTCCCGACAAGCAATTAGCAGACCTCATGCACCATCTTCCAACAGCCTTGATGTCTATCTCCACTAGACCTGTTCCCGAGTCTGTTCGTGATTCGGTCCTTACTAGTCCAACCTATTGGTTGGAGAAGAATGCCCGCGAGCACCCGGAATGGACAGCTGTTGAAGTCGCAAGTGACATAGCTCCTGAAGGAATTGTTAAAGAAGCGTGGACCTACGAGACGCTCAACACAAAGGCGAACCGTGTGGCAGCCTACATTGCCTCCCAAGGGCATAAGAACAGAATGATTGGCGTTTGCTGTGGACGAAACCTTCCTTCTTATCCAATAATCGTTGGCATCTTCAAGTCTGGAAATGGTTACCTTCCGATAGACGAAGGCCTTCCAGATGAGCGTAAAGCATTTTTGACTGAGGATGCTGATTGCCCCATTGTCTTCACCGAGACCCAATTTTCGCAGACATTCTCCCGAGTCCCTGAAGGATGTCGTATTATTTGCGTCGACGACTTTGGCTTCCAGGAATTGGTGGAAACAATGCCGGCTGAGGACCGGGATTACCAGTCTCATCCAGACGATGTCGCCTATCTTCTTTTTACATCTGGTTCAACTGGTAAACCGAAAGGCGTCATGGTCACCCGGGGCAATCTTTCATCGTTTATCGAGTCATTCGGAGAGTTCTGCATCAAAGCAGCTCCTGGTACACTGACTCTGGGTGGCACTGGTAGGTATCTCGCACAAGCCAGCAGAGCCTTTGATCCTCATCTTCTGGAAATGTTCTTCCCGTGGCGCCAAGGAATGACCACTGCGACCGCTCCTAGAGCTATGATCTTGAATGACATCAAAACAACACTTTCAAAATGGGAGATAACACATGCAAGCTTCGTGCCGTCAATGGTAGATCAATCCGATGCCCGGCCAGAGGACTGTCCCAAGCTACAATATATGACGGTCGGCGGCGAGAAAATATCCAAGAAAGTATTGGATACATGGGCCGATTCTCACATCGCGCTTGTAAATGCATATGGTCCGACTGAGGTGACAATTGGTTGTACTTTCGCTCATGTTAGGAAGGAGACAAATATGAGGAACATTGGACCACCGTTGAGTGCCTGTGCCTGTCATGTCATGATTCCCGGTACAGAAAACTATGCTCTCCGAGGTCAAACTGGAGAGCTGGTCTTTAGTGGCGATCTTGTTGGAAAGGGATACCTTAACAGACCCGATGCCACTGGATTTGTGACGGGACCTAATGGCGAGAGAATGTACCGAACTGGTGATATAGGCCGTCTGATGCCGGATGACTCAGTGGAGTATCTGGGCCGTGGTGACGATCAAACCAAAATCCGGGGCCAAAGGCTAGAGCTCGGAGAGGTGTCCGAAGTGCTACGCTCATCTTCGGCCGTTACCATTACTGTTGTCACAACAGTTGTCAAACATCCAGGTCTCGCCAGAGCGCAGCTTATATCTTTCATTACGCGGTCGGATTCTCGTCACCACCAGCCGGATGAGAGCGTAGAATTTGTCCAGTCTGATTTCGCTACATTGGGCAAGGAACTCCAGGATATCCTCAAAAAGAAGCTGCCGGCATATATGGTTCCGGAGCTTATCCTACCCATAACGTATATCCCGAAGGCACCGATGTCTGGGAAAGCGAACCTCAAAGAACTGCATGCTCTGTTCACGAATTTACCACTTGCAGCTGTTCTCCAGGGAAACAATGCGATCAATAGAAATGGCAGTGCCGTCAGCCGACCTCTGACCGCTGATGAGGAGGCCGTTGTGGAGGAGGTCTGTACCGTTATATCTACAGACCGTTCCAACATTGGCCCAATGACAAATATCTTTGAAATTGGCCTGGACAGTCTGAGCGCCATAGGCCTCTCCATCAAGCTCAGAAAGGTTGGATACCAAGCCACAGTCGCTCTTGTCATGAGCAACCCAGTTATTGAACAACTTGCCCGGCTTCCAAGAAACACCTCGTTAATGAATGGACAAGATGCATTGTCGAATACACACCAAAGGCTTCTTGGCATAGAATCTCAGTACAGGGAAAGTTCCCCTGCTGGAGTCGACCTGTCTCAAGTTGCTTCTGTGCGTCCTTGTCTGCCCCTCCAAGAAGGCTTGGTAGCCCGCTCCATCAATAGCGATGGGGACCAACTCTATGTTAATCATGTTATTCTTCAACTTGAAAAGGTCGACGTTGCTCAGTTGAAGTCAGCATGGCAAACAGTGGTCAATGACAATGACATATTGAGAACTGCTTTCGCTCCGTTGGATAAGGAGATGGTCCAGGTGGTCTTCTCTCCTGACTCCAACCAGCTTCGCTGGACCGAAGAAGAATATCTCACCCTTGAAGAATCGATCGAGAGTTCCAAGCAGCAACAGGAAGGAGTCACTCAAGATATCATTTCGAACATCTCCAGTACACCTCCTGTGCGATTCCATCTTGCAAAGAGCTCTGAAACCAAGGAACCACTCGCTCTCTTCATCTCCATCCACCATGCTCTCTATGATGGCGAGTCTTTCTCAATGTTGATGGACGATGTTACTTCTTATTATGCCGAGTACCCAGTTCCAGAGAGAGGTTTACCGTTGGCATTCATTGAACATGTTTATGGTCAAGACTTTGAAAAGGCGAAGAAGCACTGGACTGAGTATCTGTCCGGTTGCCACCCGACAATCTTCCGCGAAGATCCTAGTGTCATGGACCTTCCAACTTCTGCGCACAAGCAACTTAGTAACAAATTATCAGCCTTAGAGCGCCGATCAGCGAGTCTCCAAACAACGGTCCCCTCCTTAATACAGGCTATATTTGCACTTCTGTTGGCCGATACAGTAGGTGCTTCAGATATAACTTACGGACTTGTGCTCTCTGGTCGCGCTTTATCTGTGCCTGGAGCAGATTCGGTCCTGCTTCCATGCATCACTACAATTCCCAGTCGTCTTGACACGGATGGGCTGGACACGGTTACTGACGTAATTGAGGCTGTCCAAAGATCGACTGTCAGGTCGCTTGATTACCAGCATACTTCCTTGAGACATATACAGCGTTGGATAAACTCCCAAACTCCTCTCTTTGATTGCCTCTTCTCTTACATCAGGGCTACTGAGCCAGAGAGACATAGTCTCTGGAAGGAGCTTGACAGCCACATGCCTGCTGAATATCCACTTGCACTTGAAGTCGAGGCAAACCATGCTACTGACACGATCAATCTAAACTGCCTCTTTTCCCCAGCGTTCGATACTCTATATAATGGAGAGGAGTTCCTCGAAAAGATGGATGCTGTACTAGCAAGTGTCGCGTCAGGCGAAAGTGTCTCTTTGGATAGTTTCAATCTCCCTCGAGTGGAAGATTCTGGACCACGTTCATCTGCTATTAAATGGGACGAGACAACATGGTCCAATACAGAAACTGCGATTCAAGGTCTCGTTGCTGCCTTCTGTAGCTTGAGGTTGGCAGATATCACCAAGGGAGCCTCCTTCTTGAGTCTAGGCATTGACTCCGTTACAGCCATCCAGTTCGCACGCAAGCTACGTGAGTCAGACCTCAATGTTTCCTCGTCTGACGTCATGCGCTTCTCTTGTGTTGGTGCGTTAGCTAGACACATCGAGCAATCTTCTCTCCCTCAGCCCACAACGAACGGTGAACAGGTTAACGGGACAACGAATATTCCTCTTAATGTCTACCAGAAGCATGTCCGTCTCTTAGGTGATAGTGATTCCGTCGAATCCATGTTTGAATGTACACCTCTACAAGCAGGCATGATCACACAAACATTAGCCTCCTCCGGGCAGGTCTACGTCAATCCTCATCCTGTCCGCCTTAACGACTCTGTGGATACTAATAGGCTACGGGAGGCGGTCCAAGAAATAATCAAGAGAAATGACATCCTGCGTACTTCATTCCATCTGATAGGGGAGCTTGGCTCTTCCTGGATCGGTGCTGTACATACACATCCTCCTCTTGAATGGCAAGAGCTGACTTTACCATCTGACCGTGACGTTCTTTCTGAGGTCAACGCACTCTTCTCGTTTGGGGAGGAGTCTTCCTTTGAGGTTCCCCCCATCCGCTCAGTTCTGGTTAATCAGCCTGAGGGAAGACTCCTGGTCGTCGTCATGCACCATTCTCTATACGACGGTGCTTCCTTGCCATTCTTCTTCGAGGACCTCGCTATTACGTACAATGGTGAGCATCCATCAGAGAGACCACAGTTCTCAGAAACAGTCAGACATGTATTGAACGGACAAGATGAGGCCTGCGGCTTTTGGGGCCGTAAGCTACAAGATTATGAAGCTGTTGAGCTTCCTCAGCTGCCGTCTTCTGAATCTTTGGATCGCATGTTCCTCTCAGACAATCATGTTGATCTTGACTTGCCGGTTATTATTGACGCCTGCAAAAAGATGGAGGTCACTGTACAAAGCGTGGCTATCTTAGCGTACGCCAAGGCCCTCGCACGTCTTATTGGGAAACGTGACATTGCATTTGGACAAGTTCTTGCGGGCCGGTCAGTGCCAGGAACCGAACGTACTTTTGGCCCGCTGTTCAACACTGTAGCTCAAAGAGTGACCTTTGAGCCAAAGTTCCTGAGCAATAGGGCTATGGCTTCGCGGCTGCAACAACTCACAACTGAAGCACAAGAATACCAGCACGCGCCTCTGAGAGTTGTACAAAACTCTCTGAGAAAGGCTAGTACACTGAGGGCTACTTCGCTCTTCGATACGCTCTTCGTCTTCCAGAAGAGCGCAGACTTTGCTGGCAGCATCCTTGAGGAGCAACAGATTTGGAAGCCGTACGAAACAGATGGCTATGCTGCTCAAGCCGAGTATAAGCTGAATGTGGAAGTTGACCATAGGCAAGACGGAATTGCGGTCAGCGCCAACTGCAACGGGCAATATATGTCACAAATGGCTCTCGATAGCTTCATCAATGATTTCACAACCGCCTTCAAAGATATTATCCAGCACCCAACCAGGTGCGTCACAGTCATACCTGAGCATCTTGGAGAGCTGCCTCTCAGACTGTCCTTGGAAACTCCCGAAGAACGCCTGGCTGAAGACTCCAACACACCTCCGCACGAAGCCACCGTTAAATCTGTACTAGCAGATGTTTCTGGAGTGCCAGTCGACAGTATTAACCCCACTACTAGCATCTTCAGTATTGGGTTGGACTCCTTATCTGCAATCCGCATTGCTTCTATCTGTCGATCGAAGGGTCTGAAGACCGGTGTAGCCGATATTCTCCAAGGCAACACCCTTCGTGGAATCAGTCAACGTATCCGACCTATAACAGAACAGGCAATCAAGCCTCAAGGTGCCCTTATCAAGGACTACGATCAAGTCGAGAAAATAGTTTTGAGACAGCTGAGCTTGAATAAGGAGTCGATTGAAGCCATTCTTCCCTGTCTCGGCGGTCAGTACTATCACCTCGTGGGCTGGTTGAAGTCTGGACGGAAGCTGTTCGAACCTGCCTGGCCATACTTTACTACGGAACGCATCAATGCCGACATGCTTGAAGAAGCATGGTATCAACTTCGTCAAAGGCATCCAATACTACGGACTTGCTTCGCAGCTATTTCTTCTTCCGAAGCGGTCCAGGTTGTCATGAAGCAGGCTATGCGTGACGCTGAAACTTTCAAGGTCATTGAGTCTTCTGATTCCATAAAAGAGGCTGCAAGGGCACAGTCAAAGGCAGAGGCTTTAGAGCCTTCTTCGCTCTTTGTTCCCCCTGTACGACTACGCCTCATAAAGGCCAGCGACAGAGACGGCATCGTTATCCTAGTGAACCACGCTGCATACGATGCATGGACAATGCCACTGTTCGTTTCAGAGCTTGCAAAGCTCTACCGTGGTCAGCCCTTGGACTCAAACCCTGATTTCCCTTCCTTTGTCGACTACTCAGTCCGTTCTCTCCGTGAGGTTGACGAGAAAGCATACTGGACCTCCGCCCTCGGCTCAGGTATGCGCACCGTCATCAACTCTAAGCAGGAAGCCGGCCAAGTCCCAGATCAACTATTCGTCGGGGCTTGGGAAAAGGTCAAGAACGTATCCCACATGGAAAACATATGCCGCTCCGTCGGCCTGGGTCTCCAAGCCGTGGTCCTTCTGGCTGTTGCTCGCACCCTTGCGCGGGCAACAGGGTCAACAAGTCCAACCATGGGCTTATACCAAACCGGTCGCTCCGCCTCATTCCCCAACATTGAGAAGCTCTCCGGGCCTTGTCTGAACGTCAATCCATTCACCATCTCCGACGTCATCTCTGACGAATCGGACCCCAACCTCCTAGACAAAGCCCGCGCTGTTCAATCTTCCCTTGCAGAACGCGTCTCATTCGAGCAAAGCTCGCTGCAGGACGTCCTCCGCTGGGTTGATGCCCAACAATCCGGATCGCCATGGTTCAATACCTGGGTCAACCTCCTCTGGATGCAGGGTTCCATTCCATCAGCTAATGATGCCTCGCCAGATGCAGACGTCAACGACAAGGCCGAGGTCTTTTTGCCTCTTCGCATTGGTGTCCCCACGGACTTTATTCCCGATGAGCCTCTGCCTGGTCTGGAGGCGACCTCCGTGTCTGCCTTGGATACTTCTCTTCTACTAGATGAGAACGTCTACATCGATATCGGACCTGACCCGAAGACTGATACCATTGGATTCGGTGTTCGTGTCGAAGGTGGCTGTCTTTCTGAGGAGGAAGTCAATGAACTTGTGTCGGATATTGGGGCTGAGATTGAAGGAATTGTGTCGTCGTTGCAGTGATACAACGCAAGAAAGCAAAACCAAGGCAACTAAAAAAAAAAAAAAAAAAAGAAAAAGAAGTTAATATGAGGCAAGATTCCTCTTCCTGGATACCAGTGTATGTTTTTGGCTACATCATACACATTTTTTGTTACATGGGCATTTCTAGATTTTGATTTCTGTTTATTTCATGCTTGTCAATAGATCGGTTGTATATACTCAATTATTTTGATAGTTCAATCTACTTTTCGTTCAAAACTGTGATTCTTTTCAATACAAATAAATAAAGTAGGTGTATATTAGTTCGCTGTTCATATATTCATCCCAGCACATGCAGATTCTATACAGATTCTATGCATGGTATGTGGCTAAGTTGCCGTCATAAAGAGTGGATATACATACATACATCGTGAGTCCAAGGCTTATCCACAAATACGGCTATATACATATAAGTCGTCGTCCTTTATTCAATTCTATCCGTAAGCTTAGTTTCCCTTCGTATCCGAGAGAGGGACATCTTTCATCGCCTCCTGCACCAACCACATCGTAACATCTTGGATATCTGTGCCGACTCGCCAACTACCGAGCACCACGCCCTTGTCCGTTAGGATCTCGTGGGCTCTTTCCCAGCGTCTTCGCCAGAGTTCTTCGCGCTTGTTGGGCAATGGCGCTGGAGGTGCAGATCCGGCAACTGATTGTTGGTCGCTGTCTAGACTGTTTGTGCTTGATCTGGCTGGTGAGGGGTTGGTAGCTGTAGATCGGAGGAGGTTGGACGGAGATGGGAGACGCTCTGAGGCGTACTGTAGAGCGGCTGTTGCTGCGGCTGTGGGGTATGATTGCGGTTGTCTTTGAGATGGTTGGCGGCTTGTGCTTGAGTTCGAGGTTGTTGTTGAGGATGTTGCTCCCGTGTTGCTTCGGCGGGGCGGAGGTGGTGGCGGGGGTTGTTTGGACCGCACGAGTTCTTGAGGTTCAGATGGATCCGTTTCGTTGAATGTTTTGGAGCGGGTTGGCAGTGCGTTTTGTGGAGCTGGGACTTCTGAAGGACGACGCGGCGGTACAGGGGGGATTGGCTTCCGTTTGATGGCATCCTGCATCTGGGATGGACTGCCTTTTCCGGGCTGGTCTGACATGGCGGAAACGGTACGTAGAGATGAAGGCTTGGATGGTTTCGCTGGTGGTAAGCGTCCATTCGGTGGCTTGGACGTGTCAGACTGGATATCTCTCAAATCTTCATCGTCACGGAGGTCAATCAGATCAGCGTTATCTAGGCTTATGGCATCAGCAGATCGATGGTCTGGTGCTCGAGGGCGGCGAGGAGGCAACGCAGGCCGATTAGTTGCTATGTCGCTGGTATCGATGAGCTGGGGAGTGCTGCGAGTACGAGATGGATGAGGCTCCAGGTGGTCGATGGACTTCTCAAAGAACTGCTTATGATCTGATGTAGTGACGTCGCGGATAAAGATGCCCAGGATCCTTCCAGGATTGGCCAGGGCAATGTCGGTGTAAACTTCGAGGTCTGCCTCACCACTATCACCGACTAGAATGAATCTGCGTGTCGGGAAGTCCCGAAGCAGTTGTTCAAGGGAGCCCTTCTTTCTTTCTGCGGTAGGCTCGAATATCCCTTGAAGCATGCCGCTATATTGTTTAAGGTGAAAGGAACCAGGAGGCAATCCTGCCAGTTTAAAGTAGCGCTCCAACAGCGGATAAAGCTGCCATGGTGAATTGGAGACGTAGTGTATCTGAACCCCCATTTTAGCTAACTTAGTATACCACTCTGAGACTCCATCGACAGTTAGATCGGCTAGTTCGCGGATGAAAGTATTCCGAAATATTTCTTTGGCTCCATTTGCGATAGCTGAATGTTTCACCGTGTCATCTATGTCACTGATGAGACTGACACCGCTCGGTTCGATGACCTCGACCTGTTTCATAGCAGAGAGTTCCTCCGATGCCAGGACACGGATATGAGTCGGGATAAACGGCAGCGCTGCGCGTAAAGTAAAGTGGCCTGACTCGTCAGTCAATACGCTTCTCGACTGGCTCTTCCCATCATTGAAAAAGAACACAGTGACAGGCTGCTGGTTCATGGGATTCGACAAGAAAGGGCGAAGTCTCTCCATAAGGTGAGCATTCGCCAGGGACAGCTCATCCATGCTCATTTGAGAAGGTTCGAGCGTTGATGATGTGGTCGTTCTTTGTAGAGGTCGTCCAGGGATAGCTTCGCCATCTCGTTCCGAGGCACTGGACTTCCAGGCAGCATCCGCCCTTCCTTCCGCATTTCTGATGATCGATTGCGCCTCCGCATCCACAAGATCATCATCCCTTTTACCTGACGCCTTTCCTATAGAAGCGGTATTGGATTCGGGACCTTCAGTATCAGTCGAATAATTACTCGGCGCCGGTACACCGCTTAATTTCCTCGCGAGTGCGATCAACAAGCGCTGCTTTCGATTCATCGGCCCGCGATGAGGTGAGTACACCCAGCCTCGCACATCAACCGCGACGATCGCATTTTCATCCTCCAATATCTCTCTTTCAAGTTTCTCCATCTCCGTCTCCTCGGCCACACCGCGGTATTCGTCGAGCGTCGAAGTCGATCCCCGACGCTGTCTGTTGTAGTCTTTGACCAGTCGCCTTGCGTAACTCGGAAAAATCACCATTTCCTCATCTTCGGACCGTGCAATTTCAATATCTGGAAATGCCCCCGGCGTGTTTTTTAAGTACTCTTCATCGTATTCACGGGATGGGTTTATCTGCGCTGCCCATTGCGCGGCGTACGTCTGACGTAGTTCATTCGCAGCCCTCAGGTACTGGTAGACCTTCTGGCGACGTCCACCACTAGCACCGCCCCCTGAGCCCCATGAGGATGTCGACGATAAGTACTGTGACATTGGCACTCCTTCTGTCGCACGCGCCGGCTTCCCCCCACCAGTGTCCAATCTTCTTAACCGCCTTCTTCTCCCGATAAGGAAATCTAACACTCCCCGTCTACCAGTCTGTCGTTTCTGGAGAAGCCTGGCTTGCCGTCGAAGAATCACTCGGTATAGGCCTGCCTGGGCTCTATGGCGAAGGGTGGGGATCGTCTCGTAGCGGAAACCCCAAAGACGAGCTTGGGCACGACGGCTCTTGGTAGGCCCGAAGAGCGCACGAAGGAAGAGAAAGAGCTTTCCTTGTCTAGCTCCACGGTCCCGAGCTATGAAACGAGGGAGGGGCAAAGGTCGTAAGGGCAGTTGGCGCCTAGCGGGGAGGCTCGGCGGAACGCGCCAGCGAGTGCGAGGAAATATTTTCGGCGCCACGGTCCTGAACTAAGGTAACACAATACAGATATGTAAATACTTCAGGAAACTGCAGAGTTTCCGGTTGGTGTTCAGTCGAAGGAGGGTCGCGTAAGGCTGAACTTATGTGCTGTCCAGGCAAGGAGTTGAAGTCATCCCGGCCCACAAGGCGTTTTAGTGTAGTGATGTCAGGGTACCACCTTACTAGTGACCGAGTCGTCAGCGGACAGTGAACAAGGTATAACAATAAATATGTAACCCTTTCTCAAGACGGATGACAAGCAAAGAAACTATGAGGACCAAAAAGGGGGTGAAACATTCGATTAAGCTTGAGTTTCAAAACCAGCGGAAAGGATGTGGAGACCGTTCCAATGCCATAATTGCATCGTACCTTGCCTTAGTCAAAGCTTCTCGGGCTGCTGGATATTATATGCAATCGATGTTAATGTGTTCTTCAAGATTAAATTACTATATTATATCTATGTTCGTGCGTGCGCTATAGAGAAAAAAAATACAAAGCGCTCGAGTCGGAACGCTTTTTGACTTCAACGTCTTGTCCATCCAAGAGACTCCAAGTATAGCATTGATACATGACTAAGTAGCATCAGAAGGCAGTACGGTTTGACCAAATTCCGATCACAGGGATTCACTGTCTTCAGCGTAGCTGACTGGCTTCGCTCGACGGCTTCGACGGACCCCAGTGCCCTTGGATCGCGGGAGCTTGGGAGTTTCTGGCAAAACATCATTATCTGAAGCAGAAGGCGACGTGCTGGCTGACGTAGAAGCTTTGCGTTTTCTACTAGCCACCTTCTTCGCGCTAGAGATACGCTGAGAGGTTTTGGACGCGGGCGTCGAGGCAGGTGTAGTCAAGGTGGTACTAGCAACCTCGCCATCTTGCTCCAACGATCCCTCTACACCACTATCGACCTTCTTCATCTGCCGAGATCGTCGGGGGCTCTGGGCTGTTTTAGGACGGATGAGCTTCTTAGGCCGAAGCCATTCCTCCATTGTAGGAGGCCAATAAACCCGTCTCTCCGGACCTCCCATGCCAACCACTTCCTCAGGGATAGTTGGTGCAGGAGGAACATGTCCCTCGAGGTCAACAAACCCCCCGTTCTTTTTGGTAGACTTCCGAGGCGGCTTAAACGGTTTGTTCTCGTCAGTTCGAACATGTGGAATCAGGTCGTTAAACAAATCGTGGCCGGGAAGCTTGAAGATTCTCATCAGTTCTAACACAGCCTGTTCTTTATCTTTTGCTTCAATCATCAAATCCATCGTGGGGTCGCATGGGGGCAAGGTGGACACACGATCGCTATGCTTCCGCCGCTGACGATTCGTGATGGCAGAAGGTGTCGGCTCCGAATAGTGCATCTTCTGAGTGATCCCCTTCCTAGTCCAAGTAGCCTTAATTCTATCAAAGACCCCTATAATGTCCTGGGTCCCTTCACGGATTTGGCTCGAGTCGAAGATGATGTTGTGGTGGTGGAAGTCCAGCACGAGCGGTATATTCAACTCTTCGCATATAGGCAACAGATCATGTACCGACCAGCTAACATCATCGTTCTCTAAAACGAGTCGATTCTTGATATCTTGCGAGAGAGGTTGGTAATTCTCCCGGAACCGGTTCAAGGTGGCCTCTTTATCACCAAAGACACCACCCATGTGAAGAATCATGACCGCATCCCTATCTTGTTGGGGAGGCAGCTGAAGCAGCTGCAGCATTTCGGAGTGATACTCCAGATCTCGTATCGAACTCTCCACGACCTCGGTTTTAGGAGACCCTAACTGAGTGAATTGGCCGGGATGCACGCTCACCCTATGACCAAGCTCGGCAATGACCCGTCCGGCTCTTGCGAGAACTTCGGAGGCAAAAGGAGCTAATTTGTATCCATACTCCTTGTGGCTGGCAAATGGGAACATCTCGCTACTCAATCGCATAAACTTGATTCCATAACGGTCATTCCAGCGCAGGATCTTTACAAGATCCCGGGCATTGGTGAGTCCCAATGCTTCAACGAATGCTTGGCCCCGTGCAATATCAGGTGGCTGGTTCCGGTCCGGGCGGTTCTTCGTCGGATGGGCAGGCTGTGAGGGGTCTAGAAGCGGGTGGCGATTTTCTAAAATCGAGGCGATGCGACAAGTGCGAGAGCAGAAAACAGGAGGGGTTGAGTATCGTAGATATGTATTTAGACATGCCTACTAGTCGTAAGAAATGAACTCATATGGGAGGGAGAGAAAATGCAAAGTTGACCAGTGGTTATCACTCACATAGCCCAATCTGCCCTTCCAGGGTAGAGGCAGATAACTACTGTTAACAGGAGGGGGCCTCGAAAGAGCCTCCTGTAGCTCCTCGGCCTGAACAGGCACATCCTCATCCGATTCGGGATCTGGCGGAACATCTTCAGACAATTCCGATGTACGCGCCTGGGCCTGCACAGTATGTTCCTCACTCGGCGAGTTCACGCTGTCCCCACTCTTAAATTTCACACCTACAGGCATGTTCACGGCCTGTGATATACCCACTATGCCACGCGGACCTCCGGCGAGGCGCCGGGAATGCAAGGGCGTCGTGACTGGTGTTGTTGCAAGCTTCAGTGATCTCTGAGGGAAAGAATGTAACAGGTTGTTCACGCGAGACTCGTAATGAGAGCGACAGGAGGTATGGGCGAGAGCAAGGAAAGAGATTGAGCTTGCCACAGGAACCGGGTGAGGAGAGTGGCGGACCCGGCGGGAGCGCGCACCAAATTCCTCGACGTCATGGAAACGCGCGGCATGATGACAGGAAAGCGCACGACCAAAAGTCTTCTGCTTGTGGTGGAGAGGCCGCAAAAACATCCAGCAACCCGCTATTTATTAGATGAGAAAAAAAAATGGGGAGGTCTCTGGCGCGGCGTTATTACCATGATCCTCCAGAAAGCAGGCAAGACTGAATGGCGAGGATGTAGCGAATGGTTGAATGTAGGGAGCGGGAAGAGCTTCAAGCGGAGAGAAGAGACGCCGTGGGGCGGACGCTAAGGAGCTTTAGGAAGGCCCTCGGCGGGTTTCTTATGGTGACCAAACTTCCGCCCTCACAACAACTCATTCCCGACACTACAATATTAAGGGATATACATGGCGTCTCGTTGTATACGAATACAAGTCCAACCACAGCGACTCTCTTTGACTATTGACGCGTGATCAGAAGTCGAGATCGTCAGTATGCTACTGTACACCCACAACTTCGACAAATCTATATACGACAATACCCGCCATAAGACGATTACGTACCATGCGGGATTGAAGGTGCAAGAAGACGTCCAGGTTTCGGTGCGTCAAAGACTAAAAGTGTGCCGAAGAATGGCCTGCCCTTGTTGTGGCATTTTCATGGAGCAGCAACATTCCAGGCGGCGCTGAGCATACCTACGTTAACCACTTAGAGCCGATGGCAGAGGTACAGGAACATGCCAGAGCTCCAGATATTGAATATGTTTAACATCTGGTTGGATCACACTGCTTGCGCGTTCCTGAGCTTCTCTCCTTTGAACCGGGCTGAGTGTTTTGGCGGATTTTGTTTATTCCTCCCCCTTGCCACAAGAAAGAAAACATCTTGTCCGCTATAAGGACTGCCAGTTATCGCCATCCGGGAAAATACATCTTCATCTCTCTAGGTTCTGCGGTTCTGCTTATAAGTACTGTTGTCTCTTAACAGGGTACGTGCATGCTGTCTTGGTTCGAAAATCAGGTCTAACCAGTCTAGTGTTTACCGTTGTGCAAGGGGTTGCATATAGCTCAGGAATAGACCACTATAACACCAGAAGTTCCACAATGAAGGGTCTCGCTTTTGTGTGCGGCCTCCTGGCTACATCTGTTTCTGCACACATGCAGATGTCAAAGCCATATCCCATCCGAAGCCCCTTGAACAAGGATGCAGATGGCGAGAAGGATTATTCGTACACGAATCCGCTGTCCACCAGTGGCTCTGACTACCCTTGCAAAGGATACGCTAATGATCCATTCAACTCTGTCGCCACATACAGTCCAGGACAAGAGTACGAAATGGAATTGCAAGGTAGCGCGACACACGGTGGCGGTTCCTGTCAGATCGGTCTCTCCTACGACAAAGGAAAGAGTTTCCATGTGATTCACTCCATTCTGGGAGGGTGTCCAATTGAAAAGAAATACAAGTTCACAGTTCCCACTGATGCACCAAATGGGGAGGCCTTGTTGTCCTGGACGTGGTTTAACAAGGTTGGTAACCGCGAGATGTACATGAACTGTGCTCAGGTCACAATTGGTGGTTCCGCGAAACGTGCAATCTCTCGTCGTGACAGCTTCGACAGTCTCCCAGAGATCTTCCAAGCCAACAATGATGGGCCTGGTAAATGCACCACCATTGAGGGTGAGGAAGTGAACTTCCCACTGCCAGGACCCTCCAAAGAGGGAAGTCTTTCCGGCAAGGGCTACACATGCAAGAGCTCCGCTCCTTTCCTGGGTGATTCCAGCTCGGCCGAGACTACTACTAGTAGCAGTGCTGCAGCCCATGGCCCTAAGAGCTCCGCTAACATGTTCGGCTCGGCTTCTCCGTCCGCAGCACCTACCGACAGGGTCGCTTCCGCCTTTGGCACTTCATCCGCCGCCCGTGCCACGCCATCCTCCTCGCAGCCAGCACGTTTCGAGTCGCACCCTCTCAAGCACCACGAACTGAGCCAGGAAAACTGCAAAGATGGTACCATTATCTGCAGCCAGGACGGCCAAACCTGGTCTATATGCGACTTCGGTCGCCCCAGATTCATGGGGTCTGTTGCCGCCGGAATGCGCTGCCGCCACGGCGCCATGCACCGCGCATGGTGAATGTGAACTTGAACGTCTATTTGCACCTGCTAAGTGCGTATTCCCCGATAAAGCTCGCCTGGTGCGAGTATACACCATCTTCATATCCATCGTCAAGATGGTTCTTCTCTGTTTCCATTTTTAGTCAGTGGACCAAGGGCGTATTTTATTATGCAACTGTTCTGTCTTCTATTCTCATTAGCCCGTGTCCTGTGATTTTGTAATTTTCTCGTGATATTCTCAAATCGAATTCAATATCTCGGTCTTTGCAATTGATTTAGGATACGTTGTGGCTTTTCCCCTTCATTGGGGATTTGGTACCCATTTTCTATTCATAATATTCACAAACCCGGAGGGCGTAGTCGTTACATATCCACGTACCGCGAAAGAAAAGCAAATGGTATTTCAAGTTTCTAGAAAATCGCATTGCTGGAGAGAGACGAATACCACGTACATTCTGGAGATCCAAGGCTACGCAGGCCTAAACATGACTCAAGTTTATACTTAACCCTGCACACTTGGGCAGATTCCCTCTTTCAATTACACTCACCAATCCCACCAACTCCTCCAGAGATATAATCCATCCTACTCCACGCCTCCATTCCCACAAGAACCTCCCATTCACCAATCAAAGTTCCTTCATATGATCCAGTATCTCAGCTTCCCTCATTGTATTCCATAAACCCTTTCACCGACACATAAGCCCTTCCCCAGGTATACAGATCCAATACGTTCTCTTTCACTTGTCAAATCTATACTATTACAAGTCTAACCTCGAAGCAATAATATAGCCATCCAGTGCACAATCACCTCTTCCGGCCACTAGTATATCATAGTGGTGACGGGTTTACCTGCAGGATCTCGCCGCCTTATGCACCGTTTGGCAGTTGCCTGTTCAGCAACACTTCAGACTCACTAAAATCGCAGTGCTGATGAATGCCCCTACATAATTGGGCGAAAGAGCGGCAGGGATGGAGAATTGTCCAATCTGTGCTATCACTCAGAACGTAGCTTTGTCCTTATTCATTACTTGGAGTGTTTGGGGGTGCAGACTAAGCAGGTTTCGATCACAGAACTTAGCTTGGTTTGAGTGTGAGTATATTGTCAAAACTGCTCGATTCTATTGTAGTTTACGGTGTGCCAGTTGATAAGGTTCGATGGGGATGGAAATGTACCTTGGATATATATTTCGGAATATCAGTACCCCTAGAGGAACTTGAACGTAATTGATCAACCATTCGATTACAGCATATGGGATGGCTACACTAATGATAGATTGAAGTCGAGTCTCTGTATATTAACATGCTCATATAAAGAACCTCCATGCATTCTAGAGCTTCCATGGAACAGATGGCATAATCCCGGGTGTTACCATAGCTGAAAGCGGCACCAATATAGAAAACGAGGAATGTCAAGACAACGAGCATGGACTTCCATGTTACTAATACGGTTATTTTTGTATTAATTTTGTAATAGTCTCCATGGAATTTGTCCAGAAGTGCCCAAAAATTAGATAATAATTTGATTTCATTAAATACTGAGTCAAGCCCATATCGTCCAATGCAGTACAATACAGGAAAGTATCACCTCACATAAATCCAAAAAGATCATGGTATCTTATTTGCAATCATTAATCATAGACGTTATTACCTTCCTAGCCGAATTAGATGATAGAGCCCTTGCCCAGTTTCTCCCGAGCGGATATAGACTCGCGCGGTGAGTCTCACCGATTACAAAGTTTGTTAGTTCCAGTTGTTATAGTTCATTTCATTTTATTTATTTTGTTTTGTTTTGGGATACCATGTTTGTGTGTTATCGAACAATTCCATGGCATTCACATTTCAAAGGTGGTATGGAATGTAGTTGTCTTAGTAGTTGCCTGTATAGGCGGAGTTTCCGTAGCCATAGCCGTTCTGTGGCGCACCCGGGGTGGTCTGAGCGGTATCTTTGTTTCGAGAGAAGAAACCACCAAAACCACTAGGCTTCTCTTGGGGAGGTCCTAGTTCGACATCCTGAGGAGAAGGATGGGTTGGGAGCATATCGTCGGCGCTGGCGGCATCTGGGTTGTTCTTCTTGCGACGCCAGAAAGCACGAGGGCGAGTACCATACGTGTAGTCGTTGGCCGGGGAAGGTCCGAAACGCTTCTCACGCTTGTGGTGACGGGCGTAAAGGACTTGGAAGAGAATGGAAACCAGGAAGAAAAAGCTGGTGGAGAATGTCAGCGCATAACTTCTGATTGACACGTTGACTTGCGCAGATGAAGGGATGTAGGATAGAATATTACTCACATTCCGATGATTGCGACTGCGAATGTGACTTTTTGGAGTTCACAGGCAAACCCGTATTTCACTCTAGATGGCGATTCTGCGTTGCTTTCGCCTGATCCTAAAGGTGTGTCGACTCGGCCGCTGCATTGCTGTGTGCCATTGCGAGTCATGATCGCAATAGCGATCATGGCTCCGACAAAGCAGACATCGAGAACAACGGCCACAGCGGCGAAAAATGTGACTCCTCCCAAGCAGCAGGTGAAGAGGATACCTAATAGTCCGTAAAGGGTCGCCGCACCGGACAGACCCTCGGTAGCTTTCATCCACTGAGGGATGTTCTGGTCATGACGGCTGAGGACAGCTAAAAAGTAGGAAAAAATTCCTAGAATTACAGCACCGTCGAGAAATTGAAGGACGCGAATAGCCAAATTGAAGAAGCGGAGAACAACACCGCCAAACCCCATCCTGGAAGTGGGTGGCTGTAAAGCAGTCTTCTCGAAAGAGTAAAGAATATATTGAAAGTGGCACTAGGAACGAGGCCGGAGAGCTATAGTACGAAGTCTGAAGGGGCTAGAGGGCCGTCAGGTGAAACTAAGGGTTAAATTTCAACAGGAGCTTCACAATAAAGAGGTATTATAAGGCTGAAGAGTGGAAAAAGTTTGCACTTGTACGCAGTCCAGGCAGCATTGTTGAATGAAAAGGTTGGGTCCCAGGGGTCATGGTGTCGCAGCAAGCAGATCAGTGGAGGCATTTCCTTGGATGCCTTCAAGGCTTGTGGAACTCGAGGAATCCTTCAATCGCTTTCACAAGAGGACCCGTCCACACCATCAAGATGTCGATCCACGGACAAGGACGGAGCTCACGAGACATTTGATTGGGAAGAAAAGAGGAGAGGCGGGGACAAAGCTGTTAATCCCCGTCCCAAGCCACACCCACAGCCCAGCCCCCAAACGTCATCATTCAGGCAGGACTCATTATCATTGGTTTCCTGCTACTGTGACTAAGCCCTGCCCAGGCACCCCCTGATTCGGCACTGGCACTGGACCCTGGACCCTAAATCACATGCCTGTCACTAGGTCTCGTGTCCAGAATTAGTGACCGCATTAGGGAATCTTCCATTGCGGTCCCGGTCCACTGTCACGACTCACAACACTAAGGGACTATTACTAGCCACAGTTACTCATTGGCCGCCAGCTGTATACCGCCACAGGACAACATATACACAGCCACACCTCTCTCCTGCTCAACCAAAGTTCATCACGTCACGACTATTACTTAATGTTCTATGTTTAGCACAAGCTTAAAGCAAGATCGGACCGTGCCACAGTGGAAATCGTGGCAGCGGTTGAGGCTAGACTCGGCAGATGAAAGCCAAACGATGTCAATATCTAGAAACAGGACTCTAGTTCAACTCTATCCATATCCCTGAACGAGCAATAGCACTGGATATTAACCAATCCAGAACCATATCATCATGCCTGCACGTCGATTAATATCTTGCAGTGGTCCTCGCGGTCGTTGGCCAGGGTCTCGAGTCCCTTTTCCACCGTCTCATTCAACTTTATTTTCGACGTAACCATCTTTTCCGGTTGCAATTGGCCTGTAAGACGGAACGCAGTCAGGAAATGTGGTGGACAAAAGCCAAGTCAAGAAGGCTCTCCGGAACAGCTTACCATATCCAAGAGCCTTGATAACGGCTTCAAAGGAGCCTTCGTCGTACAACGCTGACCCGGTATAATTGACTTCGATGTACATTAAGTCGTTTACGGGAATTGCGGGTTTATTCTCCCACACAGCAACATTAATGATTGTACCATGCGTGCGGCACGCACCAATGACGCTGTTCAATGCTTTTTCCACACCAGCAGCATCAAAGATGACATCGGCGCCCACACTGTCCGTCACTTCCATGACCCTCTGGGTCACATCTTCCTGTACCGGATCAAAGGTGTGCGTAGCACCGTATTCACTCGCAAACCTTCTGCGCTTATCATAAAGCTCTGATAACATGATATTCTTAGCGCCTTGCAACTTCAACACCTGTACAATGCCGATTCCAACTGGCCCGCCCCCTACCACCATGACATTATCGCCCATCTTGAACGATGACCGATCCACAGCGTGCCAGGCAACAGCTAGTGGCTCGATCAAGGCTGCCGCTTCAAGAGATACATTGTCAGGGATCGGGTAGAAATGTCCTACCGATGCAACATGGTACTTTGCTAACCCGCCACCGTACCCTGTAGGACGCGTAAGTATCGTCGCCAGCTATTTATTGATTTGACAGTGGCCGCATACCAGAAAGTCCAATGAACCCTATGTTCTCGCAGCAGTGCTCATAGCCACGTTTGCATGCTGTGCATTGTCGGTCAAAGATGGTCGGACGTACGACGACCCGCTGTCCCGGAGACACATGCGCTACCCCCTCCCCTACTTCCTCGACGATGCCGCTGAATTCATGACCAAGTGTCACTGGACATGACCGTCCGGTTATATTATGGGGTTCTTGAGGTATCAACACGGGACCACCAGTATGTTCATGTATGTCTTGCTCAAATCAGTTTACTTTTCGATACATGTGACATAGAGGTAACTAAAGCTTACCACTGCCACAGAGTCCAGCGAAAGCTGGTCGGATCTACTATTTTCACCTTGAATCAGCATATCCTTGTTCATACCGTAGGTATAACGCAAATCACCTTTACTTCCCCTTTGCCACAAATAGGCTCATCAATTGTTTCAACCCGGATGTCGCGGGGTCCATGGAAGCGGACCGCTTCCATTAAGGGCGTAGTCTTCAGTGTCGCTCGGACAGTACCCGTGTCAAGAGTTGTGTTCAGCATTTCTCGAGATTTTATCCTAAGCTTATATAGTATCCCACAAATGTGAACAGATAGTATAAATCTAGATTCATTTGAAAGATAGTATAGGTGCACTATCGCTGTATATTGCGAGAAGGCTCTCAAAGATATTCCTCCCTTCATATATATCTGGTATGCTATCGAGGCGAATTGATGTACCAGGAGACGCTATCATGACGTGGTCCACAAGCAATAGATATCCATAAAGCAAAGCAACCCTGAGATCTGATTCGCCAGAGCACTGTAACAGTTCATCTGATAATCATTACACCATCTATGATGTTAAACACGTTCTCCTGGGAGAAAGCCCCGACAATATGATTCGGCCAGATACCTCCAAATAAGATGGATAGGTGAGCACGACCCTGTAATAGATCCACATCGGCCTTGAAGGCAGTAATGTGTTGATATCAACACGTGAGCTGAAAATAGCCATTCCTAACGCGGGGAAGCAGTCAGTGGCGTCATCTCATTCTCGAGATATCTTGGCCACTTAGTCCCACTGGAGGGTTATGTAGCCGTTATGTAGCCGTTCCTGTCGAGACAGTTAGCCTGCATGTCACTGAAGTAAAGTACAATTAGGTTACACTTACGGAGGCCACTAAGGCAAGTCCAGAGAAGGAAGCCGCCAATGAGTCTGGGGTTACATTACCCGGTAGGGCACTCAACAAAAAGAACCGGCCACTCATTAAGAGGCAAATGTTCGTACTATAGAATTTTTGATGTGTCAAGTTTCTTCCTCGCGCTGCTGGTCAATAAAAGCGCGCAGGATGGATTCCAGTCCTTCGTTGCGCCGCGCCAAAAGCATTACGTCGGAAACATTAACTGTCGAGCGTCCGGCATGCCTAATAAGGAAGTTCCGAATAGGTCAGCAACCCACCATATTGAATCCCCAAGGATCCTCTGCCAATGGCACAGAAGTACGGCAACAAAAGCGACAAAATAATAACAATCGCAAGGCAGAGCATCCATCCATAAGATACTTTGAGTCGAGCTCGGTCACTTACTTAGCAAAGGATTCTAAATCCTGGCTGACTGTCTCTGTTTATCGAAGATGATCAGTTTACACGCCACCATGAACCAACTGTGACGACAGCTGCATGGCTGTTCGCTCTGTGAAAGTGGACATACCTATTTGGGCCCAGACCATCTCCGTCAAGGCCCCGATGAACTGAGGCGTGGCATTCACACCAAGTTTGATGGTTTCGTCATCAACTATCTTCCCAATAGCTAGCCAAAGAGCGGATTTCAGGCGCTATGAAAAGTGGCTGTAAGATCTGCTTCGAACTAAGTGATCCATATCATCACGTACCTCTTCAAGGCCAACTTCTTCGTTTGGATCCATGCTCAGCAGACAGCGGGAAGTGGCCAATAATTCAGCTCCTCAAAGTTAATACCCCAGAAGATAGCTTTTATCGATACTGATGGAAACGATGTAGTTACGATCTATACTTGATCGCGCGCGTGAACAGACGCGTCTATGGATGGAGAAGAGCAGACGCCGCCTGTGATTGGCTACGGCTAAAGCGGGCGGACAAAAGATCTCCCGAACGACAGTAGCCACTAGACCAGAATGGAACACTTCCCATTACGGAATTCTTCTCATCGAATGGAGGCTAAAAGAAAAGAGCTTGTGGCATCCAGCGGGCAATCCACTTTCAAATCCCTCATACTCTCGCCAGAAAAGGGGTTCACAAGCCTTCATTTGAGCGCCTGCCTCTAAACCAACTCACATTGAGCTCACAAACTGAGCCATAACCTCTCAATCTCTCTCTCTACGACCTCCGCGAAATCCCGCATCTCTTTCTATAATCCTTTCTCGACACCAATTACCGAGAACAATAAAAACTGCAACCGAATAAAAAAATGTCTTCTCCCGACGTCTCCGTCGCCACAGAGGCCTTGAAGGACTTCTTCGGCCAAATATATACCTTCTTCGAAACGATCATCGTCCGCTTCTTCAGGAACCTCTATAACTCTTTCGCGCACGTGGGCTTCAACCGCTGGACCAAGGTCACACTCTCGGTAGTCGGTTATATTTTACTTCGTCCATATATCGAAGCCTGGTTTAAGAAAATGAGTGAACGCGATCGCAGAAAGATGGAGGAGAAGGAAAAGGCTAAGAGGGAGGCACAAGGTGGCAAGAAGGCTAAGGTTTCGGCCAATACACTGCGAGGTGGTTCTAGCGGAGGCGGAAAGGTGCTTGGAGAGGTCGAGAACACCGACGATGAAATTGAGGATGGAGAGGACTTTGCGACTGCCAGCGGAGTGCCGGAGTGGACAAAGAATGCGAAAAAGAGGCAGAAGAAGTACATGAAGAGTCTGAAGGAGGCAGAGGCGAACGCGAATAAGTTGTCCCAGGACCAGATTATGGAGTTGTTGGATTGGAGTGATTCAGAAAATGAGAAGAAGGAGGCATGATTTCAAGGCGTGGATATTTACTTCTTCAGTTCTGTGTGGGTATATGAATAGTAGACTTATCTGACTTTATAAAAATATATAATTAATCTTTCTTCTGATACGCTTTTTTGGACATTGACATTGGCATTGACATCCATATTGAAACCTTGCTTATTACACGCTACTGTGAGTTTACCTTGTTTGGTGAGGTACATTCGCCACAATATATCACTGACGTACTCTGTATACAAAGTAGTCACACTAAGTGTATAGATATTCTATACCTGATAGGTTTTTTTCTGAGGCCTGTTCAATATTGCACATCAATCTCATTGTTATTGAGCAATAATTAATCCGTTCCATCCTAAATACATTCACACAATCAAGTCCTAACCCGTGTAAGCCCTCTAAGCGTAGGCGGATACTCCTTAATACTGGACGATTCTAGTGCAATCGTCTCAATGCTTCTATCATAACTTTCACCTCGTGGACATTCATCGTGCCCACTGAATTGGCAATCTCCTCCTGCACATTAGGCTCACAGTTTAAGAACTGTTCAATCAACTCGCCATCCACAAAACGGTATGGTTCCTTTGCTTCTCGGACCATACTGCGGAATCCCCGGAATTCGTTGAATGGCATCTCACCCAGTGACTCGATCTTGCCCGCCATTGTCGCTTGTAGACGCATTAGAAAATCCTGGTGTTCTGGATTAATTATGGCGAACAGGTAAATGGAGCCCTCCACCTGGTTGTGCGATCTCAGTTAGTGGTGTATTACAAAGAGGGTGAAGGGAAATCACATACTGTGCCTAGGAAGGCTCGCGGGGTGACCGTTACACTTGCCAATTGTTGAATGTTAACTGGCCGGATACGGTTGACCATTTCGCCTAGTGAGATTTCCCCGGTTACTTCTAGCCGGCGCCTATCGTCCTCTTCAACTCCAGCGAGGTTCCGACGGAGAACGATCAAGTTTCCTTCCGCATCGCTCTCTAGGAAAGTGTCCTTATCGATGCAGGCGACTCCCGTGGCCCAAACGGTCTGGAAGTGGCGAGCCACTTCTGTTAATGAATCAGGAAGGCCGTTGTCCCCTTCCTTAAACTCCACAAGGCATACACTCTTCATGAGATCTGAGACCACAATCACGTTGCCTACCACGGTCACATCCACCGGTGCGGTCGAGGTTCTGAAGCTGGCCAGCTTTTCCAATTTCATTGCACCGAAATTGTTGTTCACCACCTTATAAATAACGATCTGAAAGGCTTCGTCAGATGCGGATTCACAACAATCGGCTCGACTATTACTTACTGTCTTAACAAGTGCGGCTACAATTTTGTCTCCCAACATAGCCAGAGCACGACATGCCCCCTTAACAGGTAATTCGGCAACCTTTGTCAGTTTCCGGCCATTGTCAACTTCAAACATTAGTATTCGACCTCGAATCGACTCTTCCCCTTCATCGTCAAGATAGGCCGTTCCAACGACGAACCGATCTTTCATCATTTCACGTCCATTTTCACCCTTGCCCGCCGGGAATTCTGCGCGAATAACGCTTTCTACTAACTCCTCTGGTCTTAATTCAAATGAATCAAGCTGTCTAAACAGAACCTCATCAGCGAGCATAAATCGGCTTGTGACAATTTCCGCCCCGTCTGCAAGTTTACGCTGTATTGTTCCGATACCAAACGCCTTTTCCGAAGGTGAATAAGCGACTCTGCGTACGGTTGCACCGATTTGAAGCGTCTGGATCTGTGTCGTCCTCTCCCGATCGACCAGAGCGATCTTGAGCTCGTGTGGTGTAGCCACTGCAATAGATCCAGGATAGGCCTCCGAGTTAAAATGGCAGACGCGAGAAGCTCCCTCTGAATTTACTGCAGAGTATATAATACGGCCTTCGGAGCCATAGATCAGGCTTGGATTCTCGCATGTCGCAAAGACATTGTAAAGTCCATCACCCCTTGGCAGCTTCTTGAAAGTTGGTTGCTCAGACCCAAGAATTAGTTTGTTCATTTGGCTTAAGGAGTAGTCATCCGTCTTGAACGAGTAAGTGATAACACTACCATCTGCCATTGAGATGAAAAGGGTAGGAGGACTATCCGCGAGCACGTCCGCAACGAGAACGGATCGCGGGAAAGCTTCTCCGGCTGGGCCCAGCGATGTAGTATGCACTTCAGTCAAGTCTTGAAGCTTGAGAACGGACACCTTGGCAAGTTGAGGGAATCCAACAACACAAACTTCAGTTGGCGATGCAGGAACCGTAACACCAGAAATTTGTTTATCGGCGCCAAATTTCTTCTCTGTCACCACATGCACCTCATTCCGGATATCCAAGACGGTCATAAGCTCGCCTCCAATGACAAGCACCATTGAATCATCGTTGGCAGAAGCAGCAGTGATGACCAGCCCATTCGGCGGTGCCCATTGGTACACGACCATTCCACCTTCCAAATCCGCTATAAGCACACGTTGCTCAGTAACCTGCAATATTCGGCCCCCAGGCAAGTTGGCTGCGAGAAGTGTGTTCTCCGAAAGGCTCAGTCCAAGGAAATGATCCAATTCTTCTACCTCCCCATCGGGACTGAAATGGAATACACGAGTTTCATCAATAAAGGTAACAAGGAGTGTATCCAGTGTATCCCCTCCAGCGTGGACCTGCAATCCCCATAGATCTGTGATGTGTTCCATGTCACCCAAAACGCCCAGCTCCTCCATTCCGACCCCACTGCGCACACTTCGCAGGGTCCCGTCGTCGAAAGCGCCCGAGCCTGTGACAATCCGAGCCTGCCCGGACGAGAATTCATGGGTTTGGCTTTCACTTGTGCGGTTCCCGAGGTCCATTATGGTGAAATCCAATATAGGGGCAATATTGGACAGGGCTTGGATTATTTCGAATGAGCCATTACCGATTCGAAGTACTTGAGAATCCCCTTGATGAGATCCCACAAATACAATCCCACCGCCAAGATATACCAAAGCAGAAGCTCGTGATGTGTTTCCCAGATGATCCAATTTCCAACCCTGAACCTGGTTATCCGAGTCTAGAACAAGCATTAAGAAAAATAGCCTTCCATAATCATCGGCTAATAACCATCGTTGGCTATCCACTCCTTCCCAAGCTACAAATATCGTTGCTTCATCTAGAGGCCGAGAGATTATCTCATTGTTATCGTCATCAACATATTTAATAGACGTTTCGCCAAGGATGAGAAGACCACCTAGAATTGTAAGTCTGGGAGTGCGATAGTAGAGGGGATGCTATATGGCATGGCACAGGGAAACTAACCTAGTGGAGCGGGTACGGGTATAAGGTGGGAGGCTCCAAGATCTAGCTCTTGTGCAAAGTCGGCTATATGCGTCAAAGTAGCGTCTGCACTCGTGCTCGCCGTAGCAGAGGTGTAATTCAACTCTCTAACCATCAATCTAACCTTCTTCTGGTTGTCCTCATAAAGTAAAGCCAAGCGCGGCAATCCAGACTGCACATGGAGGAACGCAGAGGAGCGTACAAAGAGCTCATCAATCCTCGCTGTCGTCAGCTCTCCGAGCTCGCCGACTTTCGGCGCATCAGGCCCAGTAGGAACAGCTGCAGCCCTTCCCCTTTTCCGGCCAGGCAATTGTATAATCGGTACCACAGCAACCAAGCCCTCATAGACCTCCAGCGTCATGAACCGACCACTGGGGTCTATCAAACATCGGTTACCAGTTTGCGATTCTCGCGACGACGGATCGGCAATGTCGACATAGTTTCTTTCCGTTCGTATCCTATTTTGCGTACTGTCCCATGATAGAGTGCAGTAGGTGTACCGATCTGTGCCAACGAAAAGATGATCGGTGGGTGAATGGGCGGGGGCAGGAAGCCGAGCCAACATCGACACTTTGGCGTATAGAGTACACGACGCAGCAAGATTCAATCCATCGGGGGTAAGCGTATAAATTTCCAGTCGATTGGCCTTTCTATCACAAATTGGATATATTAGTAACATATGCTTTGCAGCCAGAAGCCGACCGGTGGATTGTGGTCACCAACGCAACAACCAAGGATTCCTCCTCTGGGTTCAGAAACTGCAGCTTGAGCGCATGACGCACGCTGCTCGCCTTATGTATTGGCACGACATAAGCCATCTCGATAGCCTGAAGTTCTATGAGCTCGAAATCGACGATCCGGAATGGGCTTTTTGCAGTGGAGACCACTGCGGGGAGATGATAGCAAGATCACCCGTCAGGTCCAACGGAGTACGGAGAATCACAGGTTGACTCCAGATCGTAATATCGTATACTCAATGTTTGAAAAATATCCGCATCTCTGACGGCGAGAGTCCGACCTGGAACGAGTTGATAATGAAGGGGCCGAAAAGAAAGGGGACTGTACGTAGGACCAGTTCGGGGCTTGAGATAAAAATCGCAATGACGATGTTGCGGTGCCTTCCAAGACATTAACTCCGGGCTATGGCCGAATACCACCTACAGCCTTGAACCTTCACATCTCTATACATTTATCCACTTCATATCTAAAGAATTATTTATACATGCGTGCTTTTTAAACACTTAGGATTTTCTAATCATTATATTTACACCACATGATGTTCAAAATTCCCAAAGAATCAAATGTATTTATCAGCAAGTTCCGGACATCACACGTGATCCAATGTAGTGTTAATTTCCGTACATAATTCTTGAAACATTTTCGAACCGTCAAGTCTATCATCCCTCCCTTGGCGAGCTGTATTTTGCCATGATCAAATAGCCATGTCGCCCACTGCATGAAGGCCAAAAAGAAGTGCTAGGCATACATGAATCACGCCGAAAGACAAAAAATATAAAAAGGAATAACAGGCGGAGTATATATGCAAAGATCATCTAGGCATGAGAAGGGAAAAGAAGTCATGTTCAATTAAAAGAAACGGCCATGGAAGAATCATGACCAAACATCCTCCTGGTAGCTTCCACTGCTGCGCATATGCTTGACCATCTCCTCGCCCTTCTCGGCGGGAAGACCACGCTGTTGGGCAATAATCTGACCAAGTA